CCCCTGAGACCTGGAGGCCTGGGTCAGTGTCAGACCCATCTCTATCTCTCAGCCACCCAGCACCAAGGAGTCATTCCCAAACTGATGGTTAGACAGAGCAGTGAACCCATCTGCTGCCCCACCAAGCTGAGGTCTCCAAAAAACCAGGGACTCTCTGAGGCATATCTCCCCACACAGAGCAGGAATTCAGATCAATCAGCAACTGACTGGGTGCTAAGACTCCATGCAGAGGTTCCAGAGCGAGCGTGTGGTCACTGTTGTGACAATTCACAAAGCACTGTGATGTCCACACTTGCCTGGGCCTTGCACAAACTCCGTGGTAAATGCCATCACCCCTACGTCGCATGTCAGGAAGCCCAGGCTCAAGGAGTAGAGGGGCTTGCCCGAGGTCCCAGGGCCAGGTACGCATCCCCATTTTCTGCCTCCACAGCTCATGTTTCAGCCACTGCCCTGTGACTGAGACTGTCCTTCACAGGCCTTGCCAGACCTTGCCCCAGACCTGGGGCAGAGCAAACAGGCAGCGCCAACTCAAAGAGCAGCCCTCTGTCCGAGCCCAGGGCTGGCCTCCCCTGCTCACATCTGCTCTGTCTCTGTGTCCAGAGCCTCTGGCGGGCCTGGCCCAGAGCAGGAAGGACCAAAGACCGGCCCGGTGACACATCTAGGGTTTTCCCACCTGCTGCAAAGGAGTTTACGCTCAGGCCCCTTCCGACTTTAACCCCCACCCCATGCCCAGGCTGGCCGCGTAGGGTAAGAGTTCTCCCCCCCTCGCCCATCTCCGCGGCCCCACTGCGAGCCCCTAGGAGGACCCCCAACAAAGACCTGGCTCTCTGGCCTGGTCTGGCTCACTCATCCATCTGGAGTCCCACCACCTTGGGTTCAAATACTGGCTTCTCCAAATAACTGAGGGACCTGAGACACGGGGCTGGCTTCACGGGTGTGTGACCCGTACACGTGCCCCAGGCCCTGCCCTCAGAAGGGCCCCCAGGTGGTTGAGTGTTCAGTTGCCTCTGTCTTGAAATTTTTAATTTTTGAGCAAGGGCCCTTCATTTTTATTTTGCACGGGGTCTCACAATAGGTAGTTGATCCTGCCTGGACAAGTTCTTGAACTTCCCTGAGCCTCAGTTTCTCTGGCTGCAGAAGAAGCCAACTTCTGGAGCTGCTGTGAGGCCAGTGGGTGAGAAGATCCTTTGTCCAGCTGTAGAGGCCTGTGCCCTGGGAGGTTTTGTTCCCTCCAGGAGGAGAGGAGAGGCTTTAGAAAGACCCAGTAGCTCTCTTGGATAGACTAGAGGGCTCACAGAGTCCAAAAGGAAAGTCTTCAGCTCCCTGGGACAGCACTCTGGGGTTCGGCTTTGCCCCGTTCCCCCTCACACCCCCGAAGGTATGGCGCCTGGACTCCAGCCGCCCTTGGCAGCGTGGGCTCCTGGATGGGGTGTGGCCTCACAGGGCAACCTGCAGCACCCCCTTTGCATCCCCCACCCTGAGAGCCAGAGACAACACCACTGCAGTCCCCAGCCCATGTTTGCCGTTTGCATTCGGGGTGAGCCTGCAGTCAAAAGAGAGGACAGGCTGTCCGGTTTCTGCATCTGAGACAGTGGTGGCCCAGTACCAGGCCCGGGTGGCCTCTAGTCTTGGGAAACAGAGAGGCAAGGCTGCTTTTTGAGGCGGTCGGAGAGAGCGGTCCAGGGGGAGGGACCCAGGCTGATGCCATCCAAGGCAAGGAGCTCCTTCAACAGCCTCTGCTTGGAAACTCCCGGGGACAAAGCTCTCAGTGCCACCCAGGCTGGCCCATCCTGTAACTGTAGACTTCAGTCCCCAACCCCCGCTTGAGCCGAAAGGACTGGGTAGACTTTGTCATCCTCCCTTCTGTGCATATTGCATTGTGCCGTGTACAACTGCTAACCTCAGAATGACACAGCCACCAACCCTGCGCTGTAGAGGGGATGCTGGAGGCCTGGCAGGTGCAGTGGCCCAGGCAACACAGAGGACAGGCTGGTAGCTGGTTGCTCAGTCCACTGCCCCCTCCCCCGCTCAGCACAGGGCCTGGCCTCAGTAAGTACTGGCTCTTGGCATTATTGCACGAGCCTGGACGCACACCCAGAGTGAGCCGGTGGTCCGGAAGAGAGGGACCGATGGCAAGACTTGAATGTCACTAAGGAGGACTCTGGTCGTCTGACCCAGAATGGCAGCAGTTAGGGGCAGGGGCTAGAATCAGATGCTAAAAAAGTAGCAAGACCAGGCCTGGGGGCCCCAGGCGAAGGGGTGGATGGGGGCAGCATGCTCAGAGGCGGGGAGCCCTGGAACAGGAAGCGTCAGGGCAGAGTACGGAGAGCACAGTACCTGCTGGCGCTGTGGGGTCCTGGGGCTGGGGCTGTCAGGGGGGTTGGAGTCAGACCCAGCAGGTCCCACCGGCTCTGCCACTTATGAGCCGCACAACCCTGGGTGGAGTCCTTGCCCGAGAGGTGGAAGGGGCAGGAGCCGCCTCACAGAGCTGCTAAGAGCCTAGGGGACATGAGGCTTGGAAGGCTGAGTTGGGACTGGAGCGGGTGACCCGCCATAACCAAGTGCTGTGGGATGAAGGGGTCAGCACCCAGAACAGCCCATGGGGCCTTCCCTGGGGGCCCAGAGCCACCCTCTCAGAACCTGAAGTTTAGGCACCAAACATCGTCTAGGGCAACATGGGAGATTAAACATGTGCACAGTGCAGGGGAGAGGCTAGAGAGTGGGTGACTCTCCACGCTGACCCCAGCCCCCTCCTGGCCTCTGCCTCCCCAGTGGGTGCCAAGGCCCCTCAGCTCTGGAAGGCCAAGATTCCGAGACCCACCAGGGCCTCCGGGGATGTGAAGGGCCAACAGGAGCCCCTTTGGCCAGGACACTTCTCAGGGACACAGCCCCCAGTGCCCACCCCACACTCCACCTCCACTACCACAGAGAGGCCCAGTCGCCATCACTGTCGCCGAGTAAGGTCACGGCTCTACCCCAGCCCCAGTTCTTCAGGGCCTGAGGCTGAACTACCTGCACCTGGAGAGCAGGCAGCCCCTTGGGCCCCTCTCCACAGAGGGGCTGTCCCACATAAAAGGCTGAAAAGGCACCTGGGACCTGCGTTGGCTCTTTGATTTGGGTCCGGGAGGCAGGATTTCCTCTCTGGTTAGAAGTCCAGGAGGGAGAAACTACCATTTGCGAAGCAACTCCAACCTGCCAGGACCCAGACCAGGTGCTTCACATGGGGAGTTTGATCCTCACCTCAGGCCCGAGAGGGAAGGTTTGTCGTCCTCACCTGCCAGGTGTGGGTGCTGAGGTCCAGCCCAAGGGCTAGCCTGCCTCGGTCACTCAGTGAGCAACAGGGCCAACGCTCACACCCTGGCCTGCCCACCTCCACTGCCCCAAGAGGGCCTGAGCAGGCCATACGCCAGTCAGATCCTGGCTCCCACTAACAGAGGCCAGCATAGTGCAGGGAAGGGCGGTGGCCTTCTTTCTGCACCTGGGGCTCGGGAAGCTCCTTGTGGAGGTGGCCTTTGAGCTGGGCCTGGGGATGCTAGCAGGCAGGAGGTCTCCACACCCCTGGGCCAGCAGACACAGAGGCAGGAAGGCTCACAGAACTGCCCACACCCAGCTGGAGGGCTAAGATTTGTGGAGACACACAGAGAAGAGTCAGGCTCGGGAGGCTCGTCTTTCAATCACGGTTACAGCTCATCCTATCATGGTGAGGGCATTAGCCTCGAGAAGCAGGGCCAGTGGCCCTCTGCCACCCATAGCCCCTGTGCTTGGGATGCTCAGGACGACACCTGCTGTGCCCCCCTCCACCCGGCAGGATCACAGAGATGCACCCTCACACACACACACACCCAGAAGGGAAAGCCCGATTTCCCCCCCCCCCCCCCCCCCCCACCTCCCCCCCCCCCACACACACACATACCCACAAATTGAAGTTCAAAGGAAAGGCATCATGAATTTGGCATAATTAGCTGCAGGGACTCCTGGGGTATGTATTCAGTGATCACTCCTGTGGGAATGCAGACACCACAGAAGGACAGACGGAATAAAGCAGTTAGGGGGAACCTTCAGGGAAAAGGCACACGGCCAGGTGCCCAGAGGAAGCCAAGGTAGGCGGGCAAAGGGTTTCGGGTTATAAAAGATGGGGCCCTTGGCTCTTCGGTTCCCAACATCGAAGAGAAGAGGAAAGCCCACTCAGGCACAGTTCCCACAAGATCAAAGCACACAGATGCTTGGAAAGAAACCCAAGTTGAAAGGCTCAGAGGCCCAGGAACGGGCTCCTCCGTGTGCGGGCCACCTGCGCCCTGGTGACCCAGCTCTGCCAGCCCCTTCTCCAGGCCTGGGGAGGATCATTCTCACCACACGATGGGTTCGGTGACCTAGGCTCTGCCCCAGCCTTTCCAGGCCCTTTGAATTTGCAAAGGGAATAAAAACACTAGACAAGCTTCAAGTGGACAAAAACCAGACGCCTTTAGCTTATGGCTCAGTGAGAACAGATGTTGAGCTGAGTGCCTCATCAAGGTGATGGATGGTGTGCGGGCTCGGGGAACCCCTCCCTGGAAACTCCACAGCCAGGGCCACAAGCCAGTCCATGCTGAGACCAGTTTGGGAGCCCCAGGGACCGCGAGTCTGAGTTTGGAGTCCAAGTCCAGGCAGGACAAGGGTTTAGGAATCTGGCCCTGGGCAGCTAAATACCAGCCAGGCTGATCTCAGCAACGTTGACCTGTTGGCAGTGACCTTTACACCAGCACAGCCCTCTAGTGTGCAGACGTTTACCTATCCGTCACCTTCGTCAAAGTGGGTCCTCCCTGGCAGCCCCACAGGAATGGTGCCATTCTCCCATTTTACAGATGGGGAGCCTGAGGCTCAGGGAAGCCCACAGCTAGAGAGGATCAGCCAGAACTCAAATTCAGGTGTCCTGTCTCAGGTGGTCCCCCCACGGATGGAGAAAGGTGGTGGCCGCCATCGGAGGAGACTGAGCATCTCTGTCTCTCCCCCCCCCCCCCCAGAGACGTGTGCAGTAAACAACGGAGGCTGCGACCGAACCTGCAGGGATACGGCCACTGGCGTGCGGTGCAGCTGCCCGGTGGGATTCACGCTGCAGCCCGACGGAAAGACGTGCAAAGGTCAGCGTGGAGCCGCTCGGGCAGGGGCGGGGGCTGCCTGTGAGGGCGGGGGGGTGCCGCGCCAGGGCTCCCCAGCAGGGTTCAAGGGAACGCTGCCTTGATAGGGTCCTGCTGTCCAAGGAAAGGACTGCCCACTGCACTAGGCTAACGGTGTCTTCACTGCAGGATCTCCTGGGCCCACAGTGACTCATCGTGGCCCTGGGGCGGGGAGGGGGGGTTGGCCATCTCTTCACCCCTGCCCTCGTGGTCGCACCTGGCGGAGCTGGGGCAACAGCACAACCCAGGGAGGTTTGGGAAGGACAGGTCTCCTTGTACCGGGATGGGACTGTCTTCTTGCCACTGTTAGAAAAATGAGGATGCTATGTGTCCTTGTCACTGGAGGAGTGACAGTGACGTGGTGGGGGCTCTCAGCGGGGGACTGGGGAGGCAGAAGGACCTCCATTTGCAATTAGAAACGAGGCTCTTGGGAGGATGGGAGAAGCTGGCGGGAACGGGCCGAGCTCCTGGCCTCTGGAAGTGAGAGCAGGTAGGGCTTGCTCTGTTCCCGCTTGTTCCCTGACTCACCCCACAGAGTTCCTGAGTGCCTCCAGGGGTGCTTAGGGTGTTAGGGGTCCCTCAGGAAACAAGAAGTGAGGGGAGCGGAGAAGTGAGAGCTGGCTGGGCTCTGGAGACTGAAGGGGCCACCCTGCAGCCCTGACAAAGGAGCCCTGAACAGCCACAGCCATTGGGCAGGGAGTAGAGGGGACCACCAGAGCCCCCTGCAAGGCCAGGGAGCAGGCCAGGCTGGGGGGCCAGGAGCGGAAGGGAAGAGGACTTGAACTTCCCAAGTCCAGTGGGTGAAGATACGGACAGCGGAGGCTTCCGGTGGTTTTAAGTAGTCCGAGGGGGCCTTTTTTTAAGCCTGTAAAAATAGATAGCATGTGACTTCTCCTTCCTAGCTGCTCTGCTGGGAAGAAACTAGGGATTATTGACAAAAATAACAGTCCTTCCACCTGTTTATTTGAAAATAAAGCCCTTCTGTAGCCCCTGCTCAGCCCACTTGGAGGCGAGTGGCAACATGTGGACTCAGATGCCAGGGGGACCGGCCAGGGCTCCCCGCGGTCCCAGCCGTCCCCATAGCCAGAGGCGACACAGCAGGCCTGGCCCCATGCCCTCAGAGCTGGGGCAGAAGAGTTTAAAGTCAGGCCACGCCGCCTGCCTCCCGGGCACGGGACCACAGGCGGGCACGTCTCAGTTCCTGACGTGAGGCTAGGAGCTGGTGCCAGGAGCCAACCTGTCCGCGCCCACAGCCGTGCCCAAGCAGAGCACCTGCGGGGACCTCTGCTGCCCCCGCCTGGCCTTCGGTGGCCTGGGGGGACACCTGTCCCCGCCTCACCTCCACCTCATGTCTGGGGGAGGGGAGGTGCTGAGGGGAGCTCCCCACAGCCGGAGGCCCATCCTGCCAAGCCCCCCACCCAGCTTCCCGTGGCTCCTCCTGAACCACTCCAGCCCTTTAACACGGCTGTCTCCACTCAGCTCTTTGCCCTTGCCGGGACCCACTCCCTCCCACTGCCCCGCACGCGCAGGAGGTCCTCTCATTCACTCACATACCAGATGGGGTTTCTGGGCTCCTCCCCTGTGCAGGGGCTGGGGAGACAGGTGAATGGAGCAGACCCTGACCCTGGGGATCTTCAATTGGATGCAGAAGACAGTTTTTCAGTTTTTAAAATCGGAGATAAACGTGTATTACCGACTGCTTGGTGCTGGATGGAGACGTACAGCCCAGCAGAAGAATGAGGACCAGAGCCTGCCCTGCGCCGGCGGGGAGGGCGTGGGGAGAGGCATTCGTCGGGGCAGCCTTTCCAACAGCACCGGGGCTGCGGTGCAGAGGCCAGGGATGCAAGGACCCAAAGGGGTCCAGTGTGCCCAGGTGTGTGAGATGTGGGGCAGCCCAGGCCAGATGGTGCAGGGCCTGTGTGCTGGGCCGGGGTCGGCCCTTCATCCTTCCAAGCCTTGGCGAGACCCCCAGACACTCCAGGGCAGGGAAAGCACAGACTCGGGTTTTTCTTTTGAGCCGGTCCCCGACCACGGCTTGGGCGGGGTTCTCTGGGCAGGGGCTGGAAGAGCAGCGAGGCGGCTGCTGTCGTCACCCAGGCTGGGATGACATGGCTTGACCCAGGTGCTGGCCACGGTGGTAGAGACGAGCAGTCCAGATATTGTCCTCAGAGGTAGAATTTTGGTTTTTTTAAGATTTTATTTATTTGACAGAGAGAGAGACAGCAAGAGAGGGAACACAAGCAGGGGGAGTGGGAGAGGGAGAAGCAGGCTTCCCGCGGAGCAGGGAGCCCGATGCGGGGCCCGATCCCAGGACCCTGGGATCATGAACCGAGCCAAAGGCAGACGCTTAACGACTGAGCCACCCAGGCGCCCCTTTCGGAGTTAAAATTTAAGGAATGTGGGACTAGACAAAAACTGCCTAATATCCTCAAATCAGGGAACACTGGAAAATGAAGGCTGACCTCCAGACCCCAGGTTTGGCATCTCAGAGCCTGGAGCGCACAGCCTGAGCTCCCCAGGTCGGACGGGAGAGGTGCAGGTCAGGGCGCGGGCATTTGGCAGGACAAAGCCCAGCTGGGAACTCCCGGCCCAAGGCTTCAGCTCCCCAGTGGGCGTGCACATCCTGGTCCTGGCAAGGGCCCAGAAGGGGATATCAAAGGAGTGATTTCAAAGGTTCAGTGTATTCTGGAAGCCAGAAGCCATTGTGAAGCGAGAAGGCTGGAGGATGAAGGTAACAAAGGTCCTGGAAAATCCAGAGCTGAAAGCCCTGAGCACACAGGGGTCACACAGGCAGGTGGAGACAGGCATGGCAAAGTAGGGGTTGTTCTGCCTGAAACATGGGGGCTGTGGTGCAGGAGGATTTGTCCCAAGCTCTGTTTCAAGAGTGTGGGCAGTGCAGGGGTTCAGCCTCAAGGCACCCTGTTCCCCTGTTCGGTGCTGCACCCGCTTGATATTGGGAAGGGGGCACCTTGATGATTGGCCCTTCTGAGAGGAGGGAGTTCTGGGGCCTTGACTCCCGGAGCTGGAACCTGGATTTCCTCAGAGACACCGGCCCCTCCTCCCAACATCTTCTAGAACAATCTGGGAGAACTCCCACCCACCACCTGTTTCCTCTCCTCCCTCACCTGCCCTCTGCCCAGCAGCGCACCCTCCCCACGAAGCTGCTCTAGGGTGATGCCAGCCCACTCCCACCCGGAAGCCCTCCACATGGCTCCCGGCTTGCCACGCTGTGCCCCCTCAGCGGGAATGGGCAGAGGGGAACAGGAGTATTTGTCATCCTGTGTGTTCCTATAGCTCCTCCCCCTCCCCCTGATGCCTGAACTGACCGGCCGATGCCTCCGAAGGTCCTCCTTGGCGGCCCAAGACCCAGCCCTTCTCTCCGATTCCTTCATTCTTCATCCACTCAGTGAATGCTGCTGGGCAGTCGCTCTCTGCAGGCCACATGCTAGGCCCAGGGGCTCCAGACAGGAGCCAGCTCCCCCATCTGTGTCCCTGACAAGGGGACAGCGAACTCTGGAGGGAACGTCAGGGAAGGCTTCCCCGGGAGGCCGCTGTTTCCAGGGGCCGGCCATGTGGGGGCTGCACCAGGTGGGGCAGCCGGAGTTGGGCTGCCAAGGCAGAAGCCAAGTGTGCGGAAGGAGGAGGGCAGGGCATCCAGGCCCAGGATGCCCAGGGAGGGGCCTACAGAAAGGGGCCGGCCCTTTATCCTGGGATGACCGGGGGCCACGGAAGACTTGCGGACAGGTAGGGGGCTGCTGGCTGTCTGGTGGGGTCGGGGGCAGTGTGAGCACAGTGAGGAGAGGAGCCTTAGAAGGGCGGGAAGGGGAGAGACTGCACCCCGGGGTTCCATCAGAATGAAGGTCCAGGGGCTTTGTGACTGTATCCTGGCTGGGGCTGGCGGTGCTTCCCCCACTCTGACCCCCAGGCAGCCGCCACATCAGCCTGGCCTCAAGCAAACATGCCTCCCATGGCCTGTCTGGTTGCCATGACAGCCCTTCCTCCGACAGGCCCAGACGGGGTTGATGATGGGATTTGGGGTTCCAGAAGGCCTGAGGCATTCCTGAGGAGGCAGACCCGCTCTGCACATTTAGTCTGTGAGAGGCACCTATTCCCAGCCCTGTTCACAGATGGGGAACCTGAGGCTCAGAGAGGTGCCTTTCCCTGCCCAGAATCACACAGCTAGCTGGGACAGAGCAGAGACAGGTCTCCATTCTCCTGCCGGAGGCTTTTAGCTAGAAATTTCCCTGTCTTCTTATAATCCCCAGGGGGAGAGGATGACAGAGGTGTGCAGGCCTCTGCCCAGGATGGGCCCTCAACTGAACTTAATGTCTGCTTTCTCTGGAGGCTGCAGGGCCAGCACGGTGCTCTGGAGAAGGCCTGTCTTTGGAGACGACTGAAACTGGGCCCCAATTTGGCTGCTGTGTGTAGCTGCAATCCCCTCTATAAAATGGGGAATCTGGTCCCCCAGTTGTTTTGAAGATCACACAAGACTTAGCCAGAAAGTGCTTGGCCTGGTCACCAGCATGAGGTGGTGCCCAGTAGGAACAGTGAGCACCAGCAGGTCTGACTACCTGCTGTAGGGTCTGGGCTCACCCTTAGGCATTTTTGTTCCTGGAATACACGCGTGTGCAGAGTTCCCCCGACTTGGGAAGTCATTGTTTTTAGTGATCATCTCGGTGTGCACACATAGAGCACCTACTGTATTCAGAGGCCAGGGTCTGGTTTCGGGGCCAGGTCTGGTGACCCGCAGGCCTCCCTTAGTGGGGACCACCTCAGGTGCCCCTCCTTTGCCACCCTCCTGGTGCCAAAGTCACCAGAGCATGCAAACATGAATGGGTCTTTGGGGTAGAGGTACCTGGGGTTGGGAGGAAGGCAGCCAAGGGCAAGGAAATGCAGGGCATGCCCACTGGGTGCCCTGCACTCCTCAAAGGCTGGTCCCGCAGGGATCCCCCCAGGAAAGCCGCTCTGGGGTCCGACCCTGGCAGGCTTGCTGTGGCCCTGTGCTATGCTAGATCCCCTCCCTGGAGCTCTGAGAACTGCCCACAGGGGCGTCTCAGCCTTGCTCCGGACCACACACCTAGGGTTTGTTTTGTTGTTGGGGAACATTCTGTGGGAACACCGCTTTAGGACTTTTCTGCAGGTGTCAGGTCTAGCTCGTTTGGTTTGAGGGAAAAAAAGTGAGGTGCCATCCGGGATTTGGAGTCGCTGGGATGGGCCAGAGTCCCCTCCATGGGGCTCTTCACAAAGGGGGCCGATGGATCTTGCTTGTTGGGCAGTGCCATTTATACAGGACAGGGAGCCCGGGCCCTCGCACTCAGGACAGGCTCAGCGAGGGCGGGAGTCTGAGTCAGCAGCTCTGCTGAGATGTGGCCGGTGGCCAACTCCAAGAAGTCCTTTCTGGTTTCCTTCGCTTCCTTTCACCCCCTCCAAATCAGGGTGAGAACCCCGTTCTGAAAGCTCTGCTAGTACGTGCTGGGTCATGTCAGCATGGGGAGCCTTGGGGTCAGGGCCCAAGAGGAACTGTGGAGTCAGAAGAGACATCTCAGGGACAAGGTCTCTGACGACACAGTCCAGGCTGGCCTGGAACCCAGAGAGCAAAACCCAGATAAGCAGGGCCGGGGGTGGGGGGCAGGAAGGAACTCACAGGAGTCAGGGGGACGTTTGTGATGCATCAGCCAACAGGCGGTGCTGCGAGGGAGAAGCCGCCCCGCCACCAGAGATATGTGCCATTGGCCAGGCTGCTTGGGAGGGGTCATTCATTACATGGGGTTAGGCCAGGTGACCTTCAGGGTCCAGCCACAGCTCGTTCGTTGGATGCTGAGTGAAGAAACAGCTCAAACAAACAGGTGGAATTAGAGGGGGAAGCCAGCTAGCCCAGGAACACCCTTACCTTTCTAAGCCTCCCGTCAGTAAAACAGGGGCATTAAACCTACAGATTGTTGACTGAGCACTCACTCAGCACCAGCACCCCGGGACCGTTAGTTCATCTGCTCCTCTCGCTGTTCTTCCAAGGCGGGCGAGCCAAGGCTCCAGGGGCCCAGGAGCTCGCCCCAGGTCGCAGCCGTGGGGAAGCAGCCAGCCCGCTGCAGGCCGCGCTGCCTCCCCGAGTGTCGTCCTGTCCCGCCCCCCGTCCCGTGGTCTTGCCACGCACGGCAGCCATCGCTTCCCCCCCTTCTTTGCCACGAAAGCCCGCCGGGCTCGCCAACGCGGGGAGGCGGCAGTAACTCAGCCTCCGGCCCCCCCGCCGCTGGGAGCCAGGCCCCTGGGCCGCCTGCTCCGATGGGGCTGGGGGACCGGACCCCGCGGCGGGCAGCGGGCGCAGGGAGGGGCGGGGGCGGGCCTCCCCCCACCTGGCAGCCCAGCCCACTCGCCCCGCCCCGCCCCGCCCGCCGGGCGCCCCGCAGACATCAACGAGTGCCTGGCCAACAACGGGGGCTGCGACCACTTCTGCCGCAACACCGTGGGCAGCTTCGAGTGCGGCTGCCGTAAGGGCTACAAGCTGCTGACCGACGAGCGGACGTGCCAAGGTGAGCCCCCGTGGGCCCCCGGCGGCCTCGCCCCGCCCTTCCCGGGCCTGCGCGGGCTCCTGGGGGGGGGGGGGGGGGAGGGCCGGGGTGTGTCGGCCCCCGCTGGCCGGTCCGAGTGTGCACCTGCCCTCCCCGCCTTCTCTGTCCTTCATGACTCTAGGTCCAACCCATCCCTTTTATGGATGGGAAACTGAGGCCCGGAGGCGCATCAGCACGTGGGGGGGGGGCCGGGGGGATGGTTACCACAGTGAGTCGGTGGCAGAGCTGGCCAGCTCCAGCACCCTGTCCTCCCGGTGGCCCCCGGGCCTCCTTCCGAGGCTTCGGAGGTGCGCTACCGCCGCCTGGTGGAAGGCGTGGCACATTGCAGGCGCTCTCCTGCAGTGCTTCCTTAGGGTTCCTGGGCGCCTGCGAGGAGCCACCAGGGTGATGTGAGGTCTGGGCAGAAGCCAAGAATCACAGTCCAGCACAAGTCCAGGAGACATCCGGGATGCAGTGAGAGCCCAGAGGATGGGCAGTGGAAAGAGTGGTCAGGGAAGGCTTCCTGGGGAAGGGGTCACTGGTGAATAGGCATTTTCCCAGAGGAGTGACAGACTGCACATGGCTCAGTGGGCCTCTCAGTGCAGCTTAGGGCTGGCCCTGGGGCAGCACGAGGCCCTGAGGGGCACGGGATGTGCTCTCCCAAGGACACGGAGGAAGGCAAGAGCAGGAGGCTGGTAACGGAGGGTCTAGGGCCAGCCTGTCCTGAGCCCATCCTATGACCCGAGTCAGTCACCTCCCCTCCCCAGCTCAGCGTCTTCATTCCTTGAGGGGTCTCTTGGCTCTCTCTTCCCCTTAGGGCGTGAGGGCCCATTGGGGGCACTTCACCTGTCCAGACTCCACTACACTTTGACTTAGTTTCTCCATCTGCCTTGCCAAGTTCTGTGGAGGGCTAAGGGAGGGGCCCTTGACTTTGTACTCCCAGCTGCCCCGTGAGACATGTGGGCCACCACTGAGGAGGAGGCCCTGATGTTTTTGCTTCTGGGCTCCAGCCAGTCTTCTCCACTCTTTACCAGGCTCGTCTCTCTGAGGCCCCCCGGGGCTCTGGCCATGTCTCAGCCCTACTCCAGCACCACCCTGGACTCTAATTTCCTTTGCCTGGCACTCAGGCCCTTGGGATGGGGACCTCAGCCACCTCCCCAAGCCCCCTGAGTCCCACACGTTCCCCTGGAGGCCCTGTGCTGCCCCCTCCCGATCTTTGCTTGTAGTGCCCTTCCCCCACTTCCATTCCTTCCTTCCAAGCTAGTCCCACCCTTCAAGGTCTAGTCCAGGTGCCACAAGTACCAGGAGATTTTCCCAGACCCCCCGCTGGGAGGAATCACATCCTCCTTTGAGCACCCACAGTGTGATTCCTTCCTTGTGCTAGAATTATTACAAACACACGTATATCATCAACGTGTGTGGTTACATGAGCTAATATATTCAAAGAATGATCTCCAATTACAGTGCCCATGGAAAGGTGGGTCAGTGGCTGTTTTGCCCTCAGGAGCCATCAGCTGTCCTAGGAGAGCCATTTTCCTCAGAATTTATGGCCAGGACAGACTTGTCTTCTAGGAGCATGCGATTCATTTTCTCCTTTCCAGTAACATGCACCCTGTGACCCTTTTTCCTTTTTACCTTGGCTGCCAGGAAGCTCAGAATCGAATTTCACATACTGTCAAGGTTTTCTTGTTATCCCTTATGGGTAGAGTATTCCCCCACCCATACCCCTTTCTCTTTGGGCTGTTTTCCTTGTTTTCTCGAGATCTTTTGGAGTGATAGGAAAACACACTGTAGTCGGCATCCAGAAGGTCTGGTTTCATGTTCCAGTTCATTTGTCTCCTCAGGCAAGCCCCCATCAATTTGCTGTAGGTGAGGATTAAACATTCATCCTGATCACAACTGAATGTGAGATATTAAAATGGCAGACATAATACTTGTATCCAAAGTACTTACACCCTGCCCACCTCCAGAAAAGATGGGAAATGGCTTCTAACCCAGAAACATAAGGTTAATGGAGACAAACTGGAAAATCAGGCTGTGACCAGAAGCCAACATTCACTGTGGATCAGCTGTGCCATAAGCCTTGGGGGCCCAGGGACTGTCTGTGTGCAGATGCACGTTGAGCGACTGAGTGAGTGCCAGGCCATGTCCACCCAGCGCCCTGAAACTCCTCCCCGCACTGTCTCCCTGTGGCCACACAGACATCGACGAGTGCTCCTTCGAGCGGACCTGCGACCACATCTGCATCAACTCCCCAGGCAGCTTCCAGTGCCTGTGTCACCGTGGCTACACACTCTATGGGACAACCCACTGCGGAGGTTTGCAGCCCGCCCGCCAGGGCCACCTTCCCCCTGAGGCACGCGCCTGGCCACATGGCCACCTATGCTGACCCTGACCTTGACTCCAGAGGGCCTGGAAGGGACCTAAGCAAGGCCAAGTTCTGGTGGGCAGAGGGGCTCAGCCAAGAGCAAGGTGGGAAGATGGGGGCAGGGAGCAGCAAGTATCAGCTAGGTGGCAGGCCTCAGGCCAGGTTGTGGGCATAGGCCCCAGAAATGTCAGCTACAAGGGAACCTCGGTCCAGAACGGGGGATGGCCACTACACAGAATCCCACAGACAATTCGTCCCAGTGGGAGAGGGTGACAACAGAGAAGGGCGGCGTATGGAGATGGAGGGGGGCGGTCCTAAAGGAGGAGCATCTGGGTCAAGATGAGGGAAAGCATGCCAGAAGGATCAGCATATGCAAAGGCACTGAGGTAGCACGGAGGGACCCAGAAGCAGCTGGTAGAGCCCCATGAGGGAAGGAGAATGTGGTGCACGATGCTGACAGGGAAGAAGCAGGGCTTTGTGAGGCCTACAGGTGATTTGGGTTTTCTTCCTCGTGCAGTGGGAGACTATTGGAGGGTTTAAGTAGGGGTGTGACATGGGCACGTTCAGGTAATGAGATCACTCTAGCTGCCACGTGTTCAGGAGAGCGGAACCCAGGGCACCAGCAGGGAGAGGGTTCCAGGCATGAGAGCCAGAGCCACTGAGCTCGGGCAGGGGGGGAGGTGTGCAGAGAAGGGGAAGGTTCTGAAGTATTCAGCTACAGATGTTGGGACTTGGAGATGTGCAGGCATGGCAAGTGGAGGTGGGGGAGCCAAGAATGGCCCTGAGGTCCTAGGGTCTCCTCGTTTCCTGAGACCACACTCCCTCTGCCGGGCAGCTGTGCAGGTCGGATGTGGTCAGGTGTGAAGTGATCAGGCACAACTGGTGTTGGGGGGGGGAATGGGCTCCTGGGGTGGGCTACAGATTCTTCTAGATGGACCTCAAAAACCTGGGCCCTGGCTCCCCTGGGCCTGCCGCTCCGACTGCAGGCCGCCCAGATGCTCAGAGCCAGGCACCCCAGCATGAGTGTGGCCCAGCCCCCTCTCCATCTCCAGCGGGTGCTCTGGTTCCTTGGTGGCCAGGGCAGGAAGGGTTGGAAGTGGCTTCTTTCACCGTGGGGCCTGTTGCATAGAGGGAAACAGCCTGTCCAAAGTCCCTTGAGCAAGAGTGACCGCACGGCCCCTGCCTCGCGAGACCTGCTTGGCACTTGAATTTTGTGCCACCTTCTGCCCTCCCCCCCCCAGTCTGGCTGCAGCTGCTGGAGGTCGGCAAACGGCTGGGGTTCCTGGGGGAGGGGGAGGGGTCGGTGTCCGTGTCCATCAGCCTCGTGTGTGTGCACTCCTGTGTGTGATGCGTGCGGCCGCCTGTCTGCATCTGACGCGTGGCCGGCTGCCGGCAGGGTCAAGGGACTCTCGGCCCTCTGGTGCTGGGTGGCCCTGCCCTGCCAGCCAACCTCCTGCCCTGATGCCCTTCCTCCCACCTGCGCTTCCAGATGTGGACGAGTGCAGCATGAACAACGGGAGCTGTGACCAGGGCTGTGTCAACACCAAGGGCAGCTACGAATGCGTCTGCCCCCCGGGGAGGCGGCTCCACTGGAACCGGAAGGACTGTGTGGGTGAGTGCCCTGGGGTGGGCCACCGCTGGGACCCCTGAAGAAGGGCCTGGGCGCTGGCTTCCGCCGCTTCCGCCAGGTGCCTGGATGGGAAGGGCAGTGACCTCTCAGGGTGGGGTGAGCATGGGGTGAACAACGCAGGGCCTACCTCGCCTGGGAGGGGGGTTCTCGGCAGGGAACCTCTGCTGCTGGGATGGGGCTAATGGGAAGGAGGACCTGCAGAAGAAGAGGGGATGCAGGCGGGGGAGCGTGCTGGGTGCCAGCCAGAGGCACAGAAACGGACCTACAGGGGGAGGGGGACACAGAGGTGAAGATCTGGGGGTCAGTGTGTGCAGCTAGGGCTGTGGGCTCAGGAGGAGCTAGAAGCTCGGAGGGCAAAGAGGCCTCCACGCCCCCATCTCCCGCTGGTCCTGCCCAGGCCACCGGCCCCACAAGGTCCAGCACGGGAAGGTGGAGGGGGGGCTCCCAGCAAGCGCAGGGTGCCTGCGTCCTCTGCTGGTGGGCTCCGGAGACTTGGGGCAGCTCCAGGCCAAGTTCTGGACAATCCCCCACATTCATTGGTTCTACAAACACATGGTCACCCACTACATGCCAGGCCTGCTGTGGATGCTGGAGCCACAGCCCTGAAATGGCTCTTAGATCCTTGCCCTGCCATGCCCTAACATCCCCAGGGCAGCCAGAGCCAGCCTTTGATTTTATTTTTTAAACTTGTTTTTTTTCTCCACGCCCAGCGTGGAGCCCAACACAGAGCTTGAACCCACGACCCTGATACCAAGACCTAAGCTGAGATCAGGAGTCAGATATTTAACCGACTGAGCCACCCAGGCGCCCCCAGAGCTGGCCTTTTGAATCTGACTCCGAATGTGCCCGCCTCTGCTCAGAGCTCTCCACGACTCCTCTTCATGTGGAAGCAAAGCCAGAGTTCTTAGAATGGCCCAAAGGCTACTGGACCCTGGCCTAACGGCCTTCGGCCCTCACCTCGCCCACCCCACGCTAGCCTCAGTGACCTCGAGGTTGCTTCCCACCCCCAACTGACATGGCCGTGCCAGGGCTCCCCTCTCGGCCTGGAGGGCTCCTCGCCCCTCTCACTTTCGCTCTGGGAGGCCTTCCTTGCACCCCACCCACTACCCCCTGCCTCCTTGTTTTCTTCTCTCCCGTTGTACTTCCCCCGGCTAGACATACACATGTATGTGATGTATGCTTTACACAGCGGAGCACATACTTCTGTCTGTCTCATTCACTGCTGTGTCCCCAGCACCTAGAACAGAGCCTGGCAAGTGTAGGCACTGAGTAAGTATTTGTTGAATGAATGAGTGAGGGTATCGAAGAATGGGTACCATCACTTAGCATCTGATACCAAAAAGCCGAAAGTATTGCTTCCTTCAGTAAGGACCGCTGTGTTGTTCAGGCAGTCCTGGTGAGCAAAGCCAACCGCTGGTCTCGTCTGGAGTTGCAGGGAGGAGGCTGTCTGGGGCTGTGCTGGAGAGGAAGCATTAAGTGGTGTGCATTCCGGGAGCATGGCTTGTGCTGGGAACTAAGGCCGGATGGGTTGACTCCAGCCTGCCTGGGAATCTGCCGCCAGTTTGCTGACTTTCCGAGCCTGGAAAGTAATGGTTGGACGGGCTTTCAGAGGCATGTCTGCTGATTGATGAGGGTAGTGCTAGGTCTGGTGTTGACTTGTTCCCAAAGCTGCCGGGCCAGCAGGCTTTCTCTAGGTGTATGGGGAAGGAGCGCATTTATCCTCAGCACCCTACCGGTCGTCTCTCCCTCTGTCAGAGCTGCAGGAGCGGCCACCGGGGCTTGTCTGGGTCCTCACACGGCCACCGACCCTGCTCCAAGAGTCACGGGTGGAGGTCTGATTGTCAGTCAGGGTGACTTTATCACACTTCTCCCAAGTCATCTGCTAGGACTGTGGTGACTACATAGAAGCAGTTAGCATTCTGGACACTAGATTTGGGAAGACAGACGAACAAGCATAGCTGGAAGTGTTCTTAGAAGGTTCTGGAAGGTCCTCCAGACCCGAGACCCAAGAGTTCCCAGGGCTGACCAAGAAAACTGGTTCCACCAACTCCCTGAGTCTGCCATCAGTGTGCAAGCTGCTTTCCCTTATAACCTCGACGTGGACTGCCCCACCTCACCTGTGCTGTGAATCCAGGTCCAGAGTGAAGGGCTGGCAGTGACGACCCCCCTGATTGGTCAAAAGAAAATCCAAGTTATCACTGTCACCCTGAGTGCTTGCCCTAGGAAGTCAGCCTGGTTCGCCATGCCCCCCACACCACGCCATGGGCTGTCTTATTTACTATAGCGCCCAAGGCGAGGGGCACATTTTTGATGACCACTTGGAGCTGCCCGATTCCTATGGATGGGACTGACAGCCTCCATGGTCTGCTTCAGCAGGTATCATTTGTGTCCCTCGGAAGGGAATTCTGTCCGCAGATGGTTTGCAGATGGCGTCGTTCACTGAGGGGTTGGGGGAGCCGTGTACTTGGAACAGTCTAGTAGCCCCCCAGAACCATCAGCTGTGGTCCCAGGGGGCATTGATGAGCCAGACCCCATGTACCAGATGGGATCCACTTCAGTGAAGCTGTAGGGGTATTGTCTGGGGTGTTGCTGTGAGAACTAGTCAGCTACATGGCAAGACAGCTGAATCCACCTTTCCCAGCGCGTGGGCATTCTCTTCTTCTATGTATTGCCCACAGAGAATGTCGTAATTAATAAGGTTTGTGTAACGTACTTTATACCAGCTTTCAATACCGATTTCCCCAGCAATAGCTTGGGGGACTGATGTTAAAGATTTAGGATGGTGGCCCTCGCTAGCAAGGCCTAGATCCAGGCCAGTTATCATTGGTGAGGGAAGCATAATAGAGCAGATCCGCAGTGTATAATCTTAAACGTGTAAGATGGGAGAGCATGACCCGAAGAACCAAGAACAAAGGCCTGCGAAGGAGCATGTGCAAGTCAGTGGTTGCAAACATCAAGGAGAATTTATTCCAGTGGCCTTGGGTGAGAGCCGTCCCTATGTATCATCTTCTGCCTGTCCTGAGACTCTTGAGAAATAGTTGGTTTGTGTGCACTGACTGCTTCTGGGGGTTCTCTTGAGAACCCCAGTTCAAGATCTGTAAGTTGTGACTGCGTAGTAAGTTCTGAAAAATCCACTTCTGTGTTCCCAAAAGATATGGAGTAAAAAGACAGTGAAACTTCTGAGTGATTTATGAATAACCCTCCCAGGAAAAGGTGTCTGCATATTGCTAAATAAATAAGTTGGACTATCCCAAATAAGGAACACGGGATCTAGTAATGTTTTAGCTCCTACGAGTGCTCCGTTTTTCCCAACAAGCGACTGCTTTAATTCATCCAGAAAGTAAATATGCTATTATAAGCACACAATTATAATCCATCAAATCCATTTGGAGATGCTCAAGGAGTCCTTTAGGGTTTGTTCTGGTTTTTACTCTTTACCCAGGATTCTGCTGACTGCAGGTGAGCCTTGAACTGCTCATCTCCTCTGCTGGCCTGGGAGAGTTTCTCACCTTCTCGTCTACCACCACAGCTGGTTTGTCCCCCCTGGGATGAGTTGTCATAAAGGAAACATTAGCACATGCCCAAGTGAGGTGGTCTGGTGGGTCCCGGGGGCCATCCTGGTTTCACTGGTATACCATCCTCAGGGGGCTTGCAACGCGATTATTCCACTTGGCTCCTTCTCAGAGTAGGAAGGCAAACACAGTGTGTCTGCGATGGAATCCCCACGCCTTTTCCATGGATCCGTGTCTCTGTGCTGTCTGTCGGAAGTCCTTGCCTAGGGATCACGGTCAGAGCAGCCCATTTAGCGTGATGACCCAGGAGACATTGCCTCTGACTTCCATCCCTCGTACCGTGGTGTCTCAGTTATGGGCAGTAAACCTCTCTGTTTCCAGAGCATCACTAAGTTGAACACTACAGCTGTCAGTATACAGAGCTACCCTTGATCTTCAGCAACGGAACATGCCCTAGAGATGGCCACAGGTTTGGCCACTAGAGCCAACATGAGTCCCTTAGGACATTATTCCAGCCTGGATAGTTCTTGTAAATCCAACCTAGTGTCATCTCTCCTCCTTTTGTTTTTTGTTTTTATTAACAGCTTCATTGAGATATAATTCACATGCCATACAAGTCCCCCATTTAGTGTGCAGTTCAATGGTGTTTAGTATAATCACAGAACTGTACAACCCCAGTGAATTTTAGAGCATTTTCATTACCCCAGAGAGAAACCCTATGCCCATAGCCGTCATTCCCTCAACCCCCAGCCCTAGGCAACTACCATCTACTTTTGTCTCCATGGATTCGCCTGTTCTGGACAATTGGCATAAGTGGAATCATATAACATGGGGCCTTATTATTCCATGTAGTGTAATATGTTCAAGGTTCACCCATGTCATAGTGCATGTCACTGCTTCATTCCTCTTGACAACCAAATTATATCCCGCTGTCTGCTTAGCCCACGTCTTGTTTATCCGCTCATCGGGTGATGGACATGTAAGTTGTTTCCAGTTTGGGGCATGTCATGAAGAACGCTGCTGTGTCCACATATGTTTTCAGTTTCCTCGGGTGTACGCCCAGGGGTGGAATTACTGGGTCATGCGCCCATGCTGGGTTTAACTTTTGAGGAACCGCTAGCCTGTTTTCCAAAGAAGCTGCGCCATTTGAGGTCCCACCAGCAGTGTGTGAGGTTCCGATTTCAGCACGTCCTCAGCCACCCTTGCTGTTTCCTGACTTTTTGATTATGGCCATCCTGAGGAGGGAGGGGTGAAATGGTTTCTCATTGTGGTTTTGATTTGTATTTCCCTGATGGCCAGTGGTGTTGAGTACCTTTCCATGCGCTTATTGAGTATTTGTAGATGTTCTTTCAAGAAATGTCTATTCAGATCCTTTGCCCATTTTTTTAATTGTATTATCTGTCTTTATTATTCGGTTATAAGAGTTCTTCCTATACTCTAGATATGACTTTCTTACCAGATACATGATTTGCAAGAGATATTCCCCATTCGGTGAGCTGTCTTTTCATTTTCTTGATGGTATCTTTTGAAGCCTAAAGGTTTTTAATTCTCATAAAGTCCAATTTATCTATTTTATTTCTTTGGCTGCTTGTGGTTTGGGTGTCATTTTTAAGAAACCACTGCCTAATACAGGGTCCCAAAGATTTACAGCTGTTTTCTTCTAAGAACTTTATAGCTTTAGCTCTTATACTTAGGTCTTCGATCCGTTTCGAATTAATTTGTATATGGTGTGAGACAGGGGTCCACCTTCATTCTTTTGCCTGTGGAAAGCCCGTTGTCACAGTGCCATTTGTTGAAAAGACCATTCTTTTTTTTTTTTTAAGATTTTATTTATTTATTTGACAGAGGGGGACACAGCAAGAGAGGGAACACAAGCAGGGGGAGCGGGAGAGGGAGAAGCAGGCTTCCCGCCGAGCAGGGAGCCTGATGCGGGGCTCGATCCCAGGACCCTGGGATCATGACCTGAGCCGAAGGCAGATGCTTAACGAATGAGCCACCCAGGCGCCCTGAAAAGACCATTCTTTTTCCCCGGTGAATTATCCTGCCATCTTCTTGAAATCAATTGGCCATAAATGTGTGGGTTTATTTCTGGGCTCTCTTTTCCATTGATCTGTTTGTCCTGATGCCCGTATCCCACTGTCTTGATTAATGTAGCTTTATAGTAAGTTTTTAAATCATGAAATGAGAGTCTTCCAACTTGGTTTTTTGTGTTCAAGATTGATCTGGCTATTCTTGAACTTACTTTGAGTTTCCATATGAATTTTTGAAGTCTCTTCATTATTAAGATGCGTGCCATCAACCAACAGTACTGAGTCAGGACTTGGTATGGAATGTCCAAAAGATCTGTTTTGGATATGAGCACGTCTGAAGTACAGACACACAGAGATGAGTTTCTCTGTCAGGAAGGGGTACGAGTTGCTCGGAGGTAATATGAGAAGGATAAAGGAACCAAATACCATAATTCGTTCAATGACAAGCAGAGAAAATACTGGGTGTTTTCAGTTCTCAGTGGGGGGTCATCCGGCATGTGGTACCCTCAGATTAAAGGTGATTCTAGGACGAGATCTGAAGATGCTCCAACTACGTTAGCCAAGGCATTGCCCTGAGGCAGGGAGGACAAGCCTTGGTCATGGATGTTTGCTGTGTTGCTGAGCTTGTATCCTGAGAGTGTGGCCTAACTTTTGCATGTTCATACCAAAAAAAAAAAAAAGAAAAAAGAAAAATTTATGGCAGTCTGGACTCTTCCTGGGCTCTGTTCCATTTGTTCTGCTGATGTGGAAGCTTTGCCCCAGGGATCCTGTTTTTGAATCATACGTAATATGTATATGAAGGCTCCTATCAGCTATAAATTGAATCATGCGTAGGAGAATTTTCTGGGACTTCTAAAAATAACCTCACAGATATATTTTAGGTGTATTTATTTGGAGACATATTTTAGCTGGCGGTTCCATTTGCAGAGGAGATTCTGCCCCACAACATGGGTAGGGGCTTTGACCCACGGAAGGGAGGGTTGCCTTCTGATAATGGCTCCCAAGGAGCAATTACAGGTTGGAACTTGGGAAAGGACCAAGGCTTGTTAGAGTGTCCACTGCCTCAGTGCTTTTAGTAAACCAGAGCAAATCAAGGTCATGGCCTCCCAGCCTTCTGCAACTTCCTGTCTGCGTTCAGGGCCGCCTCTTACTATCTTCATCCATATTCCCCACAACCAGGCATTCTTACTTTAAGGCAAACAGAATTTTTTTTTTTTTCACTTATCGCCAGTCAATTTGCCTTCCCTCTTGCTTCTTAGGTGACTTTAAACTTTTCTCTGGGCTTTGGTGTTCAGTGGTGGTGGAATTAATGGGTGTATATGGTGGGGTCAGAGATTTTGCCTACATGCAGCTCGTAAGCTAGCCTGCTGCTGTGTCCCAGGTGCCCTGGACATCCCGGAACCCCGGGGCCAGAGACGAAGGACTTCAGTACTCAGCACAGCAACCAGCATAAAAAGCACATTTGTGTGGGTTCCCCCGCCCCGTCCCCAAGTCCCATTTGCCCCCTCGATGCCATGCAGGTGGAGAACTTGCATCACAGCCGAGGGACACCCAGCCTGGGAAACTCACCACTTTTATGGCGAACAGAGCCGGGCTGCTCCTTATCTAGAAGGAGATATTCCCTCATCCCTCGAAGCTGCTCGAGGCAAACATAACCCTGAGAAATGGTCTGGGGAAGGAGCTGCCAATGCTTTGCGTCCTTGGAGTCCCAGTGAAAGCCCCCCAGCGAGAGCCCCCACGCTCAGGGCTGGGATGGTTGCCTCTCCCAATGAGTGGCCCCCATTGGTACCAGAAAGCAACGTTGCTGTCCACCAGTAATCACTGACAATTCCCTTTAGGAATTTGGAGAAAGTCCAAGGAAGTGCTGGGGGCTTAGTCTCCCTTGGAAGTTTGTAGATGGTTGTCCTGCTTCTCAACCAGCGGGAACATTGGTTCTTCCAGTGGCCCTTCTGTCCTGCATTATCTGCAGGTGGTTTTACTTGAAGATTCCTGATTCTTTGGGAACAGAGGACTTTCAGTCCTGTATTTACTTGGGGGCCAGCTGTTTTATCTGGAGGGCCGTGAGTTTGTTTTTATTTCTAGATTATTTACTTTCTAAGACTCCTTGAAAATGTCGAGCCACATGTTGAAGATGACCCACACTGGCAATTTCCCACTTCCATTTATTTTTCTGGCTGAGTCTCCTACTTCAGCCTGCTCACCCGAGCGACTCGACCATTGACAACAGCCTCTGAGGGGCACTTCCAGGGGCGTGCCCATTTCAGCCAGTTGTCACTGACCAGCCAGACGGGGATAAAACCAGTTCTGAGTTCCATGGCTATAGACCTGTCAGTCCTTTTAATCAAAAGATTAAAAAACGTCTGAGAGGGACACCTGGGTGGCTCAGTCGATTAAGTGTCTGCCTTCGGCTCCGGTCACGATCCCAAGATGCTGGGATCGAGTCCCACATCGGGCTTCCTGCTCAGCAGGGCAGTCCGCTTCTCCGGCTGCCTGCCACTCCCTCTGCTTGTGCTCTTTCTTTCTCTCTCTGACAAATAAATAAATAAAATCTTTAAAATAAAATAAAATAAAAAATACATAAATAAAAAACACCCGCAAAACTCTGAAGAGCTTAGTTTGGGATATCTCCGGACACCTAATGGATGTGTCCAGCAGCTGCCCCAGAGAGGGACTCCCAGTGACCCTCACATGCTTAGAAGTCGGTCACTGCCAAGAAGCCCGAGTCACTTCCACCTGCTCCCTTACGCAGAGGGGCATGGACAGCTGCTCTGGAGAATCCAGCTGTGCCCTCTGGTCTGGGCCTGTGACGTGAGGCTTCTCACAGACAGCCTGGACTGGTCAGAGGGAGGAGCGAGCCAGCTCTCTGGGCCCGGCATCCCCACACGTCCAAGTACATGTGGACCCCGCCATCTCCCAGGCCCTTCCCACCAGGGTCTGGCCACGGGATGGGGATGTGGCAGGAGTCCCCCAGTGGTCCACGCTCAGGGGCAGGGCCTCCAGAAGCCTCCACCCTGGCCCCCTCCAGCCCTCTCTTATGTCTTCCCCCTCCTCAGAGACGGGCAAGTGCCTTTCTCGGGCCAAGGCCTCCCCCTGGGCCCAGCTGTCCTGCAGCAAGGTGGGCGGCATGGAGAGCTGCTCCCTTTCCTGCCCAGCCCACTCACTCTTCGTGCCAGGTAACCTGAGGCCATCCCCGGGAAGGGATGAGGGAGTGGGTGGGGGGCTTCCTTCCCTGGGGTCCAGCCCCTCCTCCCTGCCGTTCTCCAGGAAAGAGCCCAATCTAGGAATGAGGCCGCCTGGCCCTGATCACTGAGAGATCCTGGCCCACCGTCTGGTTCCCTATGGGACACAGCATCCCTCTCCACAAGTGCAGTGGGCTCATTCCCTCCCAGCTGCTTACCCACAGCAGCCCTTCTGAGGCCTCCAGGATCTGAGGCCTCCATCTCACCCCTGGCCTCTCTGCAGACTCGGAAAACAGCTACAGCCTGAGCTGCGGCGTCCCGGGTCTCCAGGGCAAGATGCTGCCGAAGCGCAACAGCACCAGCTCCAGCACTGGGCCCAGCTGCTCAGGTAGCCGCCGGCCTGTCCGGGCTGCCTGCGCCCGGTGACCCCTGGACATTGCGTCCAGCCCTAGCCTGGGACGGGAGGGAGGGGCACTACCTAGGGAAGAACTTCCTGGCCTGGGGACCGGCCCAGCATGATCCCCGGTGCTGGCGAGCTGAGAGCAGGACTGGGACCTCTGGGCCACACGCTGGTACTGCAGTGACTCTGATCTGCTAGGACTCTTGGGTCTCAGACTCCGTTCCAGTGAAGTGAGTCACCTCCACTGTGACCATGAGGTCCCAGAAGTCCTGTGCCCTGCGGGACCCGCCAGCCAGGTCCCGTCCGCACAGCGCAGCCAACTCCCCTGCCTGCAGGCGTGTCTTCAGCCGCTTTTCCCATTCAGGAGGTTGAATCCAATGCCATGGGGACATCTGTGTGCATTTAATGCATACAGGATGTGATGCTGAGTGTCTGTGATTGTCGGTTCTTTATCCAAGCGGCTGGAATTTGCTCTTGGAAGGAATCAGCAGCTCAGGGGATGTGTCTTATTTCAAAGCCCCTTCCCTTCCTTGCTTCCCTCTCTCTTCTGTTCTGCCGCCTTTCCTAACAGCATGAGCCACGTGAACTGGGCAGTGGGGGAGGAGGTGGGAGACCTGCCTTTCCTCCTCCACAGAAGACCCCCGACCGTGAGGCCCCCCCCCCGGCTTGAGCGTGGCCCCACCATCCATGCTCCCACCTTTTCCAGGCCGTGCAGGGAGAGGAATGAGGCAGCAGGGTCCCCCCAGCCCCAGCCCCCAGTGGATTGGTCCTGCTGGCCGCCCCCTCACACTAAGGCACTCCCTCTGTGGTCCCCCCGGCCCCACTGCCTCCCTGCCCATGAGAGAGGCTGCCACCTGGGGGGATCTGGGCTTTCCCCAGGTGCGCCTGCCCCCATCAGGCAGAAGGCCCGCTTCAAGATCCGAGACGCCAAGTGCCACCTCCGGCCCCACAGCCGGGAGCCAGCAAAGGAGGCCCTGAGGCAGCTGCTGCTGGGTGAGTGGGCTGCCATGGTGCGAACCCACACAAGGGGCGGTGGGGGTCCCCGCGCCTGAGAGCTGGGAGCCCAGGGTCCAGCGGGGCTGGGTTTCCAAGGGCGGGGGGCCTCTCTTCGTCCTCACCATCATGGTCCCTGAGCCCCAGGAGCCAGGCCTGGAGCCCTGTAGACGGTGGTGGTGTCCCTTGGGAAGAAGGCCAGCATTGGAGTGGAGAATCTGGGCCCCCCAGCATCCCTGGGGCCCATCGTCCCTGCCTCACCCTGGGTTAGATGAGCTCCCCCACGGCAGGTGCTGTGTGCAGCCTGACTGTGTCCAGAAGGCCTCCCAGGGCTCACTCAGTGGCTCACTCTTGGAATGAGGGAGGCCAAAAAGGGTGTTCCAGGCTGGAGAGTAGCACGGGGAAATCTCGGTGAGAAGGGCCCAGGAGAAGCGCTTCCCAGCTCTGTTTCCACAAAGATTCCTGAACACCTTAGGATTCCTCCCCAAAGCTAACAGAGCGCAGCCCTCAAGCCGACCTAACCTGGGCTGAGCCCCACGGAGCTGAGCTTCCCCGGGGCGTCGCTAAGGAAATATGTGTGAGGGCCTCCGTATGCAGCAGTGTGATGGACTTGGAGGGCTGGTGCAGGGCCTGGCTCAGCCACAAACCCCTCATGAGACCTCGAGCCAGCCTGGCCTCCAGCCTCAGTTTCCCCCTCTGCACCACAGACTATTAGGCAAAGCAGGAGCCTTGCTGATGGTAACCTGTGCGCAGGGCTCTGTAGGACCCCGCTTCCTGCCCTGTGCCACCTTTGCCATGGCGGTCCCTTCTTTGTCCAGAAAACTGCCATCTGACCTTTGTGACCCTCAAATGTGACTCCTCCAAGAAGAGGCGCCGTGGCAAAAAGTCCCCATCCAAGGAGGTGACCCACATCACAGCAGAGTTCGAGGTGGAGACAAAGATGGAAGAGGCGTCAGGTGCGAGAGGCTGCGGAAGGCCTCAGGGAGGACAGGAGCCGGGGAGGGCCGGCAGGGGTGTGCCGGGCGTGAAGCTGGGCGACCACCTGAGCCACGGCTACTGGAGGTGGAGGCCAGCCAGGCAGTGGGGGAGCCGGGGGGTGGGGGTAGGTGCCGGGTAGCCCGGGATGGAAGAGGAGGCCCGGGGCTCAGGGGCCCACAGTGACAGCCACACGGCCTCTCTCCACCCTTCATGCCCTCGCTGGGGCCTGGAAGGGCTCGTGCCTATGGAGTTTCTGGAACAACTGAGCCAAGGGCCTATCTTTCCCAGGTTCCAGAAGGGGCCTGTAATGCTGGCTTGAGTTTCATCAGTGCTTTCCTCTTGGCTGTAAATGAGTGCTGGGTTGTGACAGAGAAGTTTGAGATCTGTCAGCAGATTTGTGCTGTGTGTGCCCAGCTCCGGGCACTGTTGGAAAGAGGGGACCAGACCAGGGTCCTTGTGCTGGCAGCACTCCCAGCCATGGGGACACAGACTCACATACAAACCACCCGGTGCTGAGGGAGACGCTAGGTGGTGGGGGCGTGAGAGCAAACAGGACCCGGAGCTGAGAGGTCTCCCCAAGAGAGGGGCTCAGGAAGTCTTCCCAGAAGACTGATTTGAATCAGGACTTAAAATCAAAGTTCACCAAGTGGGGGAGGTTGGAGGAGGTGGCAGGGAATGACCTTCAGGCAGAGGGAATGCAGTAGGCAAAGGCACAGAGATCAGAGGGAATGGGATGTGCTCAGGAGGCGGTGAGCCGGACAGGGTGGCTAGAAAGCAGAGTTCACAGTGGGTGTCGGAGGGCTGGGGGTGAGGCCTGGCAAGGCAGGCAGGGGCCCCACCACAAGGGGCCTTGGATCCAAGGCCAGAGAGCTGGGCATTCTGGGAATAGTGGCAGCCCCGAGGGTGTTGAGTGGCAGGGAGGAGTGCCCGTGCGTGAGCTGTGTCCTGGCGAGGTGATGCGTTGCCATGGCGGAGGCCCGGGTTCTCCTCCGATCCGCGGTGTGGCCTTGAGCGGGTCATACCTCTTGGACCCTCAGTCTCCTCATCTGTCAGATGGACGCCACAATGGTGCCTCGGCCCCCGGCTGCCGCATGAACGTGCTGGGGGCCGAGGCCTGGTGGAGGTGGAAGCTCGGGGAAGGGGCCGCTCCCAGGGGGTTGTGAGTCACCGTCCCTCCCGCCCCTGCAGACACCTGTGAGGCGGACTGCATGCGGAAGCGCGCCGAGCAGAGCCTGCAGGCCGCCATCAAGACTCTGCGGAAGTCCATCGGCCGGCAGCACTTCTCCGTCCAGGTCGCAGGCACAGAGTACGCGATGGCCCAGTGGCCGGCCAAGGCCCTGGAGGGCCAGGGGGCGTGCGTCACAGGCCAGGTGTTACAGGACGGGAAATGCGGTGCGTCCCTGCCCGTGGCCACTGGGATGCCCACTCGGCAAACCTTCTCTGCCCTGCCTTCCACGGGGGGCCTGGGTCAGCAGACACACTGGGAGGGGACAGCGAGACAGAAGCCTGCCAGAGAGAAGCAGTCCCATGCTCATCATTATGGCTGTCATTTGAAGAGCACTCCCCTGATGCCAGGCTCTGGGCAAAGCATTTGCTGGGCAAACATTTGCACGCACGGCCCTCACCACAATCCTGAGGACGTGTGGGACAGGGAGAGCGCAGGGCAGCACGGCCACAGCGGAGAGGCAGGAGGGGCAGGGGGACTAGTCTGTGTGGCTAGAGAGGGCCTCCCAGCCGAGGCAGCGTGGGAGCTGAGGGCGGAGGAGGAGCCGAGCGAAGATGCATGCGAGGCTGAGGGCCACCCAGGGCTACAGCACAGGCTGCCGGGAAGCAGGGGAGGCCAGGCCCACGGCAGGAGCTCGGAGAGGGCAGCCAGCCAGGGTCCAGGCCCGGGAGGCAGGGGACTTGACCAGAGCCCCAGGAGCTGGCCTGTTGAGAGGGGATGGGTCTAGACACAGCTGCAGGAGAGTGGACAGAGCCCTTGTTCTGCTGGGCTTCACGTTTCCCGGGGAAAGAAGGCAGCCAGTGAGCAAGCAAGCGCACCCACAGGCCAGGGGAGGCAGCCGCCTTGCGGGCCTCGCGGGCAGCGGTGCTACTCTGGTGCCGTGGAAACCACAGGAAGGTTCCAAGGAGAGGAGCAGGGAAGGGAAGCCAAGCGGGAGTTGGTGGAGCCTTGAACGGGGAGTGGGGGGCTGGCAGCAGGACAAGAAGGAACGAGACAGATTGAGAGAGCACTTTGGAGGGGCTTCGAGGGCAGCCCCCAAGGGCCGCGGGGCAGAGGTGGCATCATTTTCTGATCTGGGGAACCTGGGGAAGACGCGGCTGGTGGAGACGGAGTGGTCTGTATTTGCTAGCTCAGACACACGTGAGTCATCCCTGTGAAGACGTTGAATGGTTAGGGTGGTTGGAGCCACAAATCTGGGGCACAAAGCATAGGCTGGGCCAGAGAGATAAACTAGGGATCACTGGAGAAGAGGTGGGATTTAGGGGTGTGGGGGGGAAGGAAGGACTCTGGCTCGAGCAATAGAGTGAGCATGGCAGGAGGGCAGGGGCCTTCGTGATGTCATTCTTTTCTCTTTTTTTTTTAAGATTTTATTTATTTGAGAGAGAGAGCACACACGAGGAAGGGGAGGGGGAGGGGCAGAGGGAGAAGCAGGCTTCCCACTGAGCAGGGAACCCGCTGCGGGATCCGATCCCAGGAGCCCGGGGTCACGACCTGAGCGGAAGGCAGACACTTTGACTGAGCCACCCAGGCGCTCCCTTCTTCTATTTTTAATAGCTTGGTCTGAAATCATTTCAAACATTGGGAAATATGGCCAGGCAGAACAAGGAACTTCCATGGTTTCTTCATCCAGGTGCCCCGTGTGCTGCCTCGAGCAGGTCCAGGCCGCGCGGTCCAGCCCAGTTCCCCCCTGTCCTGCACGTTCAGGGTCCTGTCTCTCCTTCCTTCAGTGTGGAGCGGTCCCTCGCTCTTTCCCTGCGTCTCCTGTCCTCCTGCTGTAGGATGACCCTCCGGGGCCGCATCCCACGTGTCCGTGAGGGTCTCAGCAGGAAACTGCGCTGGCCGCCTGCTCTTCAGCGCCCCCGTCAGGAGGCACAGGATACTGACCCAGGCCACCCCTTCTGCAATTGAGGAGGATTTGCTGGGGATGTAATTCTGAATTTATACCAACATCCTGCTCCCCATCAGCCACCCTGCCCCCCAGCAGCACTCAGTGACAACTCCCAAAGCAGCCACGTCTCCCATGGTTGCGGGACGGTATCCTCTATTCCTGCCAGCCCTGGTCCCTGTGTATTGGTTAGCATTCTCCTGTCAGGAACCTTTCCCTTCCCCCTCACTTACGGATGCCTCTGCGCATCTACATGTCCGTGTATTTATATCACTGCGGACTCAGAGACTCCTCTGTTCTTCACCGGGTTGTAATCCAAGCCTGGGATTACTTAGTTCCGTGCTCAGATCATCCCCAGTGTAGCCAGTAAAGTTCCCCGTCAGACCGGTTCCCCCATCCTTTGGACACACCCCACGCCCCCATCACTCGCTGAGGATTCTCGGGCACCAAACCTGTACTTTCCCTGCCCCAGCCTTTGCAATCAGTCAGGAACCCCTGGACCCCTAGAGGAGGAAGATATGCAGATGCCAAAGCTGGGGTCCTCGCTGCTACTGGAGTGTCCTTGCTTCCAGGTTCTCTCATTGGACAGACCTAGAAAGTATGGGTGTATATCGTACATGGGTGTATATGTGTATTTCCATAGCTACAGATGGGTACCTAGGGGTGTGTGTGTGTGCGTGTGTGTGTGTTTGGAAAACCATGCGTTCACACCAATCCCTCCAATGCAATAGCTCAGAGTTCTTTCTAACCTCCCCTCTTTCCATGTTTCTAAATTTCTTCTCCAGAGAAACATGCGGCTCCCTCTCTCGTTTCCTTGGTCAGTCTTCTTACTCATCAGTTTGCTATATGCAGCCGACCACACCAGCCTGGACGACCCTCAGCCACCAGGCCTCCCTGCCCCCACCTCTGTCCCCCCCCCCCCCCGCACCACCCCCATGTCCCCAGATGGCCGCTACACCCGACAGGGAAGGAAAAAGGAGGGTAGGAGAGCTGGGTTTGGACAAAATGCCCGTAGGATGGCCGGGAAACGGTTAGTACGCAGGCCGAGAGGTCAGGGCTGGAGGGCAGGATGCAGAGCAGAGAGAGAACGAAGGGCTGAGCAGGAGTGGCCAGCACGGGGCAGGAGACCAGGGTCAGGCCTCCGGGCTCTTCACAGATGGCTGCCGTCTTGTTCCCACCGCCAGCTCTCCTTTGAGCCACAGGGACGAGGGATGTGCTCTATCTGGGAGGACAGAGCCTGGGTTTGAGGTACCAGGAGACAGACCACCTGGGCACCACGCCCCACCCCTGCCACCAGCAATCTCTCCACTTTGCCTCTGCAGTGGCCTGCGGGCCTGGCACCTACTTCAGCGGAGAGCCTGGCCAGTGTGTGCCATGCGCGCCGGGGTCCTACCAGGATGGGGACGGCCAACTCAGCTGCACGCCGTGCCCCAGCAGCGACGGGCTCGGCCTGGCTGGTGCCCGCAACGTATCCGAATGTGGAGGCGAGTGCGGGTCCCCCCTGGAGGGCGGGGCTGGGGGCTGCGGTGGGGGGAGGGTCCGGGGGCACCTCGTGTCTCTACTGAGGTCCCCAAAGCAAAGGCCCAGTCCCTGGTGATACTCTGTAAAGCTCCCTGCCGTGTGCAGAGCCTGGCATGACTTCAGGCTGCTACGCTCACAGAGGGCACTGGTGCCCTGGAGGATCTGTGTGCCAGCAAGCACTGGGCTGTGCCTAGTGCACCCGAGAACAGCAGCATGCAGTTTGGAAAGGACTTTACAGTTTATAAACACTTGGTCACTTACGGGCAACTTACTGTCTATAATGGAGGTATGTAGTGCCTTACAGTTGACCAAATATGTTACATGGTATGGAGCACCGCATCATTATCAAAAGGCTTTATGGAGGGTCCCATATACTTGGCAAGAACTGTTCTCTATATGAAGAACTTTACAGTTTGCCCTATTGATGGTTTGGAAAGCCCTTTTTCAGTTTACCAGCACAACTTGGTTTGCAAAGAGCTTTTACATTTACCACCTCACTTAACCACGTCTGTGATACGGGCTCACACTCCCACCCATCAGCCTCCCTTCTCCGGCCCTCATGGGGACCACCCAAGACAATGGGTGGGGAAAGGTGTGCCTGCGAGGGTGGGTGGGTAGGATCCTTAGGGCAGTGGAGACCACCAGCCAGCTTTCTCTGGGGTACAGAAGAGGTCGGAGCCCAGCCCTGAGTCCCTGCAGGCTAGCTGGCTGTGCCCTCCAAGAGTGTGGTCTCTGCCCTTAGTGGGGCCGGTGACTGAGAGCAGAGAGCAGCCACTGGTGGGAGCAGAGAATTCAGGGTCTGGGCCGAGAGGGCCCTCAACCCACCCCTCACTCAATGCCAAAGCACCCTCTGCATCCCAACTTAATGCTGGGTGTGCTGTCCCCTCCCTTTTTCTCAGCCAGGCCCTCAGGGACCTCACAGACTCCCCTCCCTCTGCCCTGGCCTAGCCCTGCAGACAGACAAGGCCGGTCAGCCTGGACCCCACTTCCTCATGTGGAAGGCACAGTGTGGCCTGCCCCCTGGGGGGAGCCCCTCCGACCTCTCCCCTCCACGTGTGGGGTCCACACTTCCCAGCTTAACAGCAAAGCCCCTTGCTCTTCAACCCATAGCCCTTCTTGCTAGCGGGAGAGGTGAAGCCACGCCTGGCCAAGGCCCCATAGTGCCTGAGCCGTTGGCAGCACCGGACTGGGTGGGGGTGGGCCTTGTGCAGCCCAGGCCCCTTCCCCAAGTCCCCCCTCCCCCCCAGCCGTGGTCCCCTTCCGCCAGGGCAGGTGAGGGTTGAGAACAGGGTCTGGACCGAGGCGCCCCCCGCCCCATCAACCTGAGCGACGACCTCTGACTTTCAGGCCAGTGCTCCCCAGGCTTCTTCTCCCCAGATGGCTTCAGGCCCTGCCAGGCCTGCCCGGTGGGCACGTACCAGCCTGAGCCTGGGCGCACAGGGTGCTTCCCCTGCGGAGGGGGGCTGCTTACCAAGCACGAGGGCACAGTCTCCTTCCAAGACTGTGAGGCCAAAGGTGAGTCGGCAGGGCTGTGCAGGGACGTTTTCCCTCAACACCTCTCATTTCCCGGGTGGCAGATCTCCAAGGGCAGAGGGGCAGCCCAGGGCTGCCGACAGCGGACACGGTGACCAGCACCGTGCCACAGGCCGCCAGGACAGGGACAGCGGGGTTCCACACAAGCCCACCCGAGGGTCTCAGATGGGAGAGCCAGGCAGGCACAGTGGTTACAGACGGGAGCTCTGAGCCTGACTCACAGGAAAGTTTTGGGGGGTGGAGGGGGTGAAGAAATGCAAGGGCGGGCAGGGGCAGTGGCGCGAGGTCAGACGTCTCACCTTACCTGGAGACCCTCCCTTCAGGGCCGTGGGGGTCCTGCTATCTAGCTGCACCTTCCCCTCCATGGTCACCGAGTCCCCCTGATGAGCCTGCCTCCTGCCCTGCCAAGGGCCTCTTCCCACCCACTGACCCTGATATTCTTGGGAACAGACAGAATCCTCCCTTCTAGAAGAGAAAACTCCATCTGCCCTCCAGTTCCTGCCAGGATTTCTCCTCCTTACTCTGAACCTTGTAGAAAGAGTGTCTGGACGCCACTTCCTCTCCCCCCACCCTCTCCCAAACCCCACTACTCAGCCTCTCACCACACTGCCCCCCATCATTGCTCCCATCAAGGCTGGAGCCAAATCGGTTCCCAGCTGGCACCTCCCACAGCCCCGTGGCCCCAGGCCCCACCCAGTCTCACCCACCCACCCCTCACCTGGTAGTGCTGGGGTCCCCGGCCTGGGCACTCACTCTGGAACCTGGAAAGAAAGAGCATCCAGTTGACCCCACTTTCTGTCCCCAGCCCCGCCTCTGTCCTGAACAAGATGCTACACCCTCCTGCCAGGGGACAGCCGCGGTCATATCTAGCAACCCACCTGTCACCCCACGTGGCCAGAGCCCCTCATCTTTGCCGCAAAGTGCCCCCCGCCCCGGCTCACACCAGCTCTGTCCCGCCAGGTGCCCAAGGAGAACTTGCAGTGCCCCCGAGTGCTCTCTCTCTGACCTCACATCCAGTCTGTCCGCAGCCCCAGCCAGCAGCTCTGAGCAATGAGCTCTCAGCGCCCCATTCCTGCCCCCTGAGCCAGGCTACCTGTCCCCCTGCCGCTCCCCCACCCCATCCCCTCCCCAGGGCATCAGACAGGACCATGCAGTGGCTCCAGGTGCCCTCCTCCCTCAGCGCAAAGCCTAGCATGACCCCCTGGCCCCAGGAGCTCGTCCCCGTGGCCTGTGGCCTCCCCTCTGGCCACACCCAGCACGCGCACGGCCCACTCCGGGCCCAGCTTGGCCACTACCTCCGCCCAGATGGCCTCCCAGACAGCTCCACACTACTCAAGCCTCCACTCAAGATCCCTGCGCCCCTTGAGCAGCCCATGCCTGGCCTTACAACATCTCATGCCCCATTTATTGCCCCCCAACACACGCACCTCAGGGGCGGGCCTCGGTCTGCGTGGCTCACTGCCCAGCTCCCGGCGGCCCACCACACTCCGCACGGCTGTGGACAGGGCCAGGACTGCGTGCGGGTGATGGGAGGCCACTGGGTGGTAAAGAAGGGCCTTGAACTCGGGACCAAGACAGACCTCAAGGGCAGGGAGGCGCCAGGGAGAATGCCCCCTGCCCTTTCCCACCTGCCCCCCCACCCCGGCCCACAGTGCACTGCTCCCCGGGCCACCACTACAACACCACCATCCACCGGTGCATCCGCTGCCCCGTGGGCACCTACCAGCCCGAGTTTGGCCAGAACCACTGCATCACCTGCCCAGGCAACACCAGCACGGACTTCGATGGCTCCACCAATGTCACACACTGCAAAAGTAGGTGCAGCTCTCCCCGCAGCCAGGGGGCTGGGAACATGGGGGTGGGCTTGTCGGGGACGGGGTGAGCCCTCACCCCACATGGTGTCCACAGGACCCCGGGGACTCCGCCCGGGGGTCGGAGTCTAGCACATCCGCACGTCTGCTCAGGGTGATGCCCGCACCCCTGTGCCCAGCGGGCTCTGCTCGAGGCTCCGGGTCTGTGGAGGGGAAAGGCAGGCCCACACCGGGGGGTCTGTGGGGCAGCGGCTGAGGGCCAGGCCGCGCTGCTCGGAAGGCACGCATGGCTGGGCTGCCAAGTGGACACAAACCAGCCCGGGGGTCAGGAAGCAAGCATGAAGTGTGGACAGGTGTGGAGGCGCCGGAGGAAGACCAGAGGCCTCCTCATGTCTGTGAGAAGCTCAGTTTAGCCAAAAGAAATGTGGGCAGCATAAGACAATTTGGGAAATAGATAGCCCAGGCCGTCTTTAGCAGTCATCTGGGCATAACAGACTTGACTTTAGATATTTTTAATTCCTTTTTCGGAGTCCTCTGGGACAGATTTTCTGGTATTGTACCCTTCCCCTAATCAATTTCTAGCCAGTTACCCCTTTCCTGGGCTGCTGGTCATGTCTGGGACAGCCCAAAGGGCCATGAAGGGGACTTAATCCTAGAGCCGGGAGCTGCCCACTTCCCCGGGGCATCCCCTGGGGCTCGTGGCCTCTGGGGACAAAAGAGCAGGCACCGTGGTGGGGCTCCACAGAGACAGGGTTTTAAATGTTCTTGTGAATAAAAGTGGAGAAAGCAAATAGGAGGGAAGCTTCTGGAAGGTAAGGTAAACATGAAATGCTTCCCAGAAATTTTGATGTTAAGTGTTTTATAAATGAAAAGGTGTAAGAAAATTATGTACATTTAGTATTTCCGTTCCGTTCTCTTTGCAGACCTAAGGTGTAAGGGTGAGGGTAGGAGCATTTAGCTCATAAAGATGTCGCGTTTGGCCTCTTGAGGATTACGAAGCTTAGCTACCAAAGGAAAGAAAGGGAAGCATGTCTCTTTTTCCTCACTGTGCTGCCTTGCCTGTGTGTCCCCGAGCCTTCCTGCTTGGTGGGGAGGGCGACCACACCGGCACCTGGCGGACGCTGAGCGTGGAGTGCGTGGAGGGAAAGGGGGGGTGGGGTCCCACTGAGTGGGGGGCTTTCATGCGGGCCACCTGCAGGAGCAGGGCTGGCAGGGGAGCTGGCACCGGGTGGGCCGGCCCCAGGGCGCCTCCCCACCACCACCAGGAAGATGACCCTGTGAGATGAGCGGCCCAGGGCCAAGCTGGCCGGGGCGGGGCGGGGGGCGGGGGACCCTGGGTGGAGGTGGGCCGCGGGGCCGTCGAGGGCCCGCCCTCCACGTCCCCCGTGCAGCCGGCCTGAGCAGGCCCGTGGGGCCCCGGTGCCCGCAGACCAGCACTGCGGCGGCGAGCTCGGCGACTACACAGGCTACATCGAGTCCCCCAACTACCCCGGCGACTACCCGGCCAACGCCGAGTGCGTGTGGCACATCTCGCCGCCCCCCAAGCGCAGGATCCTCATCGTGGTCCCCGAGATCTTCCTGCCCGTGGAGGACGAGTGTGGTGACGTCCTGGTCATGAGGAAGAGCGGTACGCACGGGTCAAGGCAGGGCAGCAGAGGGGCGCCAGGGTCAGCCGCGGGGCGGGTTCGCAGCCCACCTCCTGCTACCTCTGAGGCTCGGGGGCACACGCACAAGATGCCCCAGGGTCAGACAGCCTGTCCCTTCCCCTCTGGGAGTCCCGGCCTCCTGGCCTGTCACCCCTGTCCAGGGGCCAAGAGCAGCGGGCCGCGGCCCTCAGCAGTGGGTGAGGGCAAGTGTGTGCCCAGATGGCCGCAGCAGCGAGAAAGGCGGGAAAGCCCCCGAGCCCCCCAGGAACCAGGTCGAGTCCCTAACAGCATGTGCGCAGGCCAGGACCCCTCCGGGCTGCTGTCAGGCCCCAGTGCCCCCAGGGAGCACGCCGCAAGTGCCAACGTCAGGGAAGAAGGAGGCGGATGCGCGCGGACGCAGAACACTCCCGCCCACTTGGGTCTGGAATGTGTGTGAGGCGCAGAGACTAAGCGCAGGAGAGGAGGTTGAGCGAGTTTCTTCTCCACTCTATTCCCTTTGTTCTTTGTTACCATATGCGAGCCTCGCCCACTCCCTGTCTCTGATAAGCCAGGAAGCCTGAGGCCAGAAAGGGGAGGGAGCCTGCCCAGGATGCCACAGCCGGTCAGAGCCCAGCCGGAGACCATCCTCCCCGCCGCCTCTGTCACCAGCCTCCCGAGTCCCCAACATCCTCCCCTCCACTGTCTGCCCACGGGGTTGAGCTCTAGGGGGTCAGCTTCTCCCGCCTCCAGGGCATCTCAGGAAGGCTCCCCAGGGAGCAGTGAGGAGGTGGGGCACCCTTTGGACAGCCCCATGCACCCCAAGGTCAGCACGCTCACCCTTGTTCGTCTGCTCATAGGGAGAGGGGACTTCCCAAATGGGGTCCCCCACCCCAGGCCTGGCTTGTGCTGGGTGTGGGCATGAGCCCTATCCTGGAGGAGCAGTTGGCTGGAGAAAGACAGTGACAACTCAGCAGAGAGGAGCAGTGACAAAGGGTTCACCAGGGCAGAGCAGGAACATGGTAGTGCGAGGACGGAGCGGTTCGGGGAGGCTTCCTGGAGGAGGAGACACAGAAACCTGCTCTGCAGGCTGAGTAGGAACTGGGGTTGAAGGTGGGGACTGGCATCTGGGGCAGAGACTAGAGCTGGACTGTTTGGGGGACTGGGCATGGGAGCTGGGCGGCTGACCAGGTGGGGGAAAGCACGTGGCCTGAGGAAGGAGGACAGGGGCCAGGTGCAGGGATGTGGGTCAGCCAGCCGCTCAGCCCCCCTGCTCTGTCCCCAGCATCACCCGCATCTATCACCACCTATGAGACCTGCCAGACCTATGAGAGGCCCATCGCCTTCACCTCCCGCTCCCGGAAGCTCTGGATCCAGTTCAAATCCAATGAAGGCAACAGCGGCAAAGGATTCCAAGTGCCCTATGTCACCTATGACGGTCAGTGTGGCTGCACTGTGTCTGGCCCTGCAGACCCAGAGGCAACAGACACATATGGGGTGGGGAGTGGTGCAGATGAGGGAGCCATGAGTGGTGTCTGCGGCCTTCAGCGTGATGTACTGCCCAAGCAGGGTTTTGAGGGTTGACTAGGAGTTTCTAGCTAGCCAAACCTCGAGGTCAATTTGGGTGGAGGATACAGGTTTGGAGGCAGAACTGCCTCTGGCCAAGGTCTGAAGTCTGAATGTGGAGCAGGGGAAGGCAGAGGCTGAAGGTGAGGGGGAAGCAGGCAGGGTGTGGCACCTTCACGTTCCTTCCTTCCCTGCTGGTGGGTTTCACAGAGGACTACCAGCAGTTGATAGAAGATATCGTTCGCGATGGACGGCTCTACGCCTCGGAGAATCACCAGGAAATTTTAAAAGTGAGTGAACTTCCTTATGGCAAACAGTCCATGTGATCCCAGGATGGTGACCTGTGATGATCCAGGGCATCTGTCCCTGCAGACCAGGAGGGCCGAGACAAGCTCCCTGGTGGCGTCTAGCCCAGGACCTGGTGACTGGTCTTTGGGCTCCTCACCAGCTGCCAGCCTCACTTCCCTCATCTGTGAAACATGGTGGGAGCTTAAAATCAGTAGAATCCGCCCCCACCTTTGGGACTGCCTGCCTCGTCATCTTCCTCGTGGCCTTAAGAAGCAGAGCCACCTTGTCATCGAGGGGCACTGTGTCTGTCACGCGGCAGGCACTGGCCAGCTCAGGGCCCCGACCCAGGGATTTGCTCGGGCTCTGGGGGTCTGGCCCTGGCTCGGCATCTGGGAAGATAGCACTCCCAGCCTGGGAGCTGAGGTGGGCGGGGCTAGGGCAGGGTTGGGTCCCCTGGCTGTCACGTCCCAAGTGGGTGGTCCTGGGCAAGCCCTCTGAGAAACCAGGGGTGGCTCGCCGAGTGTGGGTCTTCCAGCCCCGGGGCTGGCACAGTCCTGCACACAGTAGGCAGTTTGTAAGCAGAGAGCTTCCCCCCCAATGCTACTGCACCAGGAGCAGAGCTGGAGATTCTAGAGCCCGTCTGTGTAGTGGGAACCGGAAGGTCGTGCTGGCCTCTCCATCGGTCCATCCTGCAGACAATGCCGGCTCCCCTCCTTGCCCCTCCCCTGCCGCCCTGGCCCTCTGCGCACGGCTCCACCCTGCAGCCAGGAGCATCTTTGCAGAGCTAGAAGTGTTTCCATCACTTAGGACAAAAACCTTGGCCCTCGAGGCCCCGGCCGGGGATGGCCCCCACCTGCCTCTGAAGCTGTTCAGCTTCTCTCCCTCTCCCTCTGCCCCTCCCCCAATCATGTGGGCTCTCTCTAAATATATAAATAAATCTTTAAAAAAAAAAAAAAAAAACAGGGCTCCTGGTTGGCTCAGTCGGTTAAGCGTCTGCCTTCGGCTCAGGTCATGACCCCGAAGTCCTGGGATCGAAACTCGCGTTGGGCTCCCTGCTCTGCGGGGAGCCTGCTTCTCCCTCTCCCTCTGCCTGCCGCTCCCCCTGCTTGTGCTCTCTATCTCTCTGTCAAATAAATAAATAAAATCTTTTTTAAAAAAATCAAAAAACAATTCATGGGGAAGAGAGTCTGTGGGGTCTTCCTCCCCTTCCTTGCAGACATCCCACAGGCCCCTCCAGGGCCCCAGATACTGAAGAGGCCCACAGCCCCGGGCCCCTGCGCGGCCTCACCCCCCACCTCACCGTGTCTTGCAGGACAAGAAGCTCATCAAGGCCCTCTTTGATGTGTTGGCGCATCCCCAGAACTACTTCAAGTACACAGCCCAGGAGTCCAAGGAGATGTTCCCGCGGTCCTTCATCAAACTGCTGCGCTCCAAAGTGTCCCGATTCCTGCGGCCCTACAAATAATGCCCTGCTCGGGGATGGCGGGTGTCCCGACGGGGAGGGGAGCGTGCCTTCCCTCCACAGGAGAGGCTAGAAGGCGGCTCCGCGGGCCTCCACACTCTGCCTTGGGAAGCCACCACGGCGTCTGCCCTTCGGAAACACGGACCAGCCCGTGGGGGTGAGACCACGTCCAGGCCGAGACCCCGGCCCGCCGCACTCCTCGGATGGCCCCACTGGGAAAAACACTGCGGCTTTTCTCCCTCGCTCCCTCTGCCTGTTCGATTCCAGGACAGCAGCCTCTCCTGAGCGGCACTAGAGGACCCACCCGGGGCCAGGACACCCTGTGCACAGCCAGGTCCTGGGCAGAGAGCACATTTGGGGGGGGGTGGCACGTGGCCTTACCTGACACCTCAGGAGGGGGGAGGCGTGGCTGCCTCTGTCCCCAGGCAAGCTCTGGGAGGCATCATCTGAGACAGGAAGCCAGGCTGCAGGGGGAGGGGTGTGGGAAGGCGTCTGGGGAGCTTTGATAAGCCAGTGTCTGCACCTGCAAGGCATCCACACCCCACCCCACTCCGCCGGCCACGGGCCCGGGACACAGGCGCCATGTGGTGAGGCTCTAAGGATTCTGTGGTGGGACAGAAAAGAGCTGCTAGCGGAGGAAACTGTAGATCTGTGCTTTCCCTTGATAGAGCATCTAATTAAGTACTATATATATATATAACTATAAATATAAATATAATATACTTCTATTTGTGGGTATTTTAGGAAAATCCTCTTTAGTAACTATAAATATGAAATGCAACCCCGCCTCTTCCCTCACAGGCTGTTGCCAGCATCCCTGAGTGATTAACCGCCCCGCCAGGTGCTTGCCACCGGTTTATGTGAGGCCGGGAGCCTGCAGGATGGGGAGAAGGCAGGCTGGTTCTGGACACACTCTGGAATACACATTCTTGGGGAACTAGGCTCCGATGCTTTGCTGGAGTGTTGCCCTCAGATAGAATGTGGTAGAAGGCAGTTTCCCCGTGGGCCCTTTCCTGTGGGTCCAGGGGCCCAGCAGTAAACTTCGAAAGGGGCCTGTGCTGACCCTGAGGCCATGACCTTGGGGTCTGTGCCGTGGCCTCGTGCCACAGGGAAACAAGGCCTTCCCCACGTGAGCACAGGCTGTGCCACTGCGAGAGGCCTCAGAGGGCAGGTGGCCCAGCTTCCGGAGGCCGGGCCCTGAGAGTGCTGTCTTCTTTCTGCCGCGCCACGCTGCGCCCCTCGGAGAGTCTGTCTTTAAAGAAGAGAAGTCCAGAGTCTGACCCGGTTGCATGGTGTCCCCCTCAGCCAGGAAGCCCGTGCCAGGATAGAGCCAGAAATCTCCCCGCAGCGCTGAGGCCTCGCCTGCCGGCCACCACCCATGTGACGTGCATGGGAAGCGGTCTGTATCTTTAGGGTTAACAAATGTTCACAATTCCAAGAAACATGGGAGAATCTTAAAATGAAGCCCAGTCACCCGTCCCAGGTGCCCCTAGGCTGTGCCCTCCTCCTGCCCCCACACCCACGCTGAGCGAAGGGCATGGTTTGAGACCCGTCCATGGCACGCTGCAGATGGTGAAGCCTGGGGCCGGGCAAGTGGGGTCTGGGGGTCGATGACAAGGGAGGCCAGGACAGTTTCACAATCCAGAACAGGGCTGGGAGCTCAGAAATCGTTCCCTGCCGCCGCCCACGTCAGCAACGGCAAGTCCCTAGTTTGAGGAACGCTCTGCCGCCGGCGCCTTTTCTGCCAACATCCAACTCAGGTCGGGAAGGGGCCTGGTGGGCAGGTCGGTGTGAGCCCTGAGCCCTGTCTGGGCCCACACCACCCTTCCCCGGTCACGGGCCGTGAAGGCCAGCCTCAGCTTCCAGCAAGACGCCTGTCTTCCCGCCCAAGCCATTGCGCATCCCCAGAAATTACACGAGTGTCCTCCAGAACGGCCCTGAACAGCAACCACCCAGGGGAGAGGACAGGGAGGGGTTTTTTAATAATGTTCTCAAAACAGGACCAGAAGGGCTCTAACCTTTCTTGAACGCTTCCTGCTGCCCCTCTGGGTGGTTTCGGGCAGTCGCCACCCACAAACCGCCCTAATCCACTGGCCCTTCCGGTGGGAGCCCACCCATGTCCTGTGGCTCTCCCCACCATTGTGGTCAGACCTGCCCGCTGTTCCCCCAACAGAGCAGGACAGATGTGGGGCCCCTCACCCTCACAAGTACCAGGAAGCCACCCCAATTTGCCAGCTGCCGACACATCGCCATCAGCCCCCGCCCCACCATCAGGGGCACTCAGAGTCCAGGAGTGGGGTTTGTCCTTCATCTTGATGTCAGCCCTGAGCCCCACCCTGGGGAACTTGAGGGTCCCACTGTTAAAGCCAGCGCTGTCCCCGGTCGTCGGAGCCCAGTGGCCGTGGGAGAGCTCCCTGGGCAACAAAGCACGTTTGTCCATGTTCCCGTGTTGTGGAAGCTGGTGGCAGGGCTCGAGATGTGGAGGGGCTGAGCCAGAAGGAGCACACCCCCCTTGTGGATGGGACGTTGGCCTCAAGCGGCCCCAGCCCAGCCACTGTCGCCCCTCACCTGGAACGGACCCTCAGCGGCTGGCCAGTCAATAAACTCCAAGGAACAGAGCTAAGGAAGAAGCTTCTGGAAGCAAAATCTTGCCCACTGGGCCGGGACTGAAAGGGGCCAAGGCCTGGAAGTCCTGAGGAGCTTGGCTCTGCTCCTTGCGGGGCAGCCGGGGACGCTCTCTGAGGATGGCAGTGGAAGACCAAGGGGGCCCCCCCACCCCGGGTGCCTGACGACGGCAGTCAGGTGGGACCCAGGACTGGCGGACCTGGAAGAAGCCCTCTGCCCCGCACCCCTGGCATCTCCTGGTCTCTGCTTCCGTGGAAACATGCCGAGGAAAAGAAGAGACTCTGCCTCAGTTCCAGTGGCCAGCTGGGCCCTCAGCGAGTGAGCACTGGGGTCACCTCATCTGCCTCCGAATTAGGCTATTTTCCCAGCTACGCTCTTGCCTGAGCCAGGGCCTTGCAGCTACGGTGTTGTGCTGGCCTCCCCCCCCCCCCCCCCCCCCCCTTAGTCTCGACTCGCCCCAGCAGGTGGCCTGGGCCAGTGGTGACCTCGCTCTGCCCAGCTCTAGCTCCCCAGGGGCAGTCTTTGCCAGTCCCTCCTCACCTCTGTGGTGACAGAATTAAGGGGGGGTGGGGCCCAAGGTGGCGACCTCAAGACAGCTGTCCCTCCTGCCATCCGTTGGTTGGGGACACGCAGGTGAAGTAGAACCGTAACCCGGGCCAGAAAGTCACCAGAGATAAATGGCCCCAAGAGGCCGCTTCTGAGAGCCCAAAGACAGAACTTCTTTCCTTCAACCTCTTAAAACCCATGTTTCCCACCGGAACCTTCGTTCCCCGGGGGACACGGCCAAGATCAACCATTTTCCACGACAATAGGCCCCAGCCTGCTGGAGCTAGAGTGGGGGTCTGAGTGACATTTGGGGGGTTGGATAATTACGCAAACGTCTCCACCCACCACCTTCAGCAGGAAAATAAGATACTGAGCTAAGTTAGGTCATTTAGCAAACATTTGCTGAGCGCTTACTGTGTGCCAGGCTCCTAGGAAGGAGAGACCACAGCCGTGGGGCTGGCAGAATCCCCGGCAAAGTCCCTCTTGGTCCCAGCGATAAAGGAGATTGAGGCTGGCCTGGGGGTGGACAGAGCCCAGTGCTTCTCCGGAGAAGGCACTCCGTCCTTCCAGCGCCTCCCAGCGCCCCAGGTGGGGATGGAGGGCGTCGACAGAGGGCAGAGCCGAACAGGGGTCGCCGGAGGCGTCCCGAAGTCCATCTCCCAAAGGAGGAACTGCCGCCCGCCCGGCCTCACCATGTGGCCGCCCTCCCCCCAACCCCCGGCAGAGAGCTACACGGAGAAGAGCGCAGCCACCATGCCAGGACGGCAACCTCCACCCCGCGCAAGAGGCCCCTTTCTTCACCACGGATCCACATGGTGGCCACTCAGCCCTTCTGACCCGGGTGACAGCGCCGACCTCATTCAGGCCAATGGCAGAAGGACCAGCGTTTGAGAGACACCACCCGTCCACAAGGAGAGTCAAAGCCGCCAGCTCCTCTCCTCCCGTGGCTGCCTCTGGAGGCGCTAGTTCTGAGCACCTGCTGTATGCCAGACACAGGTGTGGGAGCGGAGCTGGAGTCACCGTATCCAGCTTGCTTCTTGGAGGGGGCGGCAGGAGGGGGCAGGCCATCCCCAGGCCCAGACGCCGCAAGCATGGCCATGCGTTCCCTCCCAGCACCCTGCACAGATGGCCCCCAAAGAGCAGGACCCTCTGTTTCTCTGAGGCCCTAGATGGGCCCCTCAAGTCTCAAGAGGAAGCAGTGAAAGGCCTGAGTCCCCCAGTCGCCAGGCTCTGAGGGGCAATCCCTAGGGCCCTGCGAGGCGGGTGGGGCCTGACGCTCCTCCGACGCGGAGGGCGAGACTCTAGGAGGCCCAGTGGCATCCCCCTGGCGAACAGCTAGTAGTTGGCAGAACGGAGACTCAAACCCAAGCCCATCGAAACCCAAGCTAGGAGACGTCTGTCTGTGGGATGTTGACGACTGAATTGTATGGATTGGGAATGCGCTGGGGAGCTCCGGGGCAGGGACATGGCAGGTAGGGAGGACGGAGGTGGAGGAGCGTGGGCGTAGTGACCTCCCCTCCCTCTGGAACAAGCGCTAAACTCAGAGGAAGGCCGGCTTCTGCCTTCTCCCCGGCGTGGACAGGATGGAAGTGTCCGTTCAGACTCGGGCCCGCAGGCCAAGCACGGCCCTGCGCACCCCCGGAGAGATGCTGTGCGCCCCCCGTCGGCCCCTCTCGCAGGCTCCGGCGCACAAACATGAGACAACGTGGGTGTCCCTCGGCAGACCGTGGGCTGAAAAGTAGGGGCACAAAGAGAGCTCACTGGTGCCCAGGACTTTGTTTTCCAGTTCAGAGGCCATGTAGATCCCCAAGAAATGTCTTAGTCCACTGAGATCAGAACCTTGAACAGTCTGAGCAGACCCAGTCCATACCGCTTGTGAAATGGGATATCTGAACACCACTGGGGGGCCCGGGAGGAGGGGGAGGGGGGCAGGGGAGGCGGGGAGGGGAGCAGAGCGCTGGGCCCTTGTTCCCCCACCCTCCGCTTTGGGTTCTGTGAAGGCGCTGTACAGTCCAGGCATTCTGGCAACCCTTCTGTCTACAAGGTGACAAATATCGGCGCAATCATGTTTTTATTTTGGTTGCCTCGAATATTCAAGGTTTTGTCTTCTCCTTCCTGTTCATACATATGCATGTAATTAAACGTTTGTGGAAATTACTTTAATAATAAACAGGAAACGAACTT